CATGTCCTTAATCAACACTATATCACTAAATTTGTCAAGGTCCACATTCGGAAACTCGCATTCAATACCAAATAGCTTATGTTAAAGTTTAACTAATTTTTCATATTATCCATATAGATCACATACAAATTAAAAGTGATCATCATCTCCCTTCGTTAACCCTACCACACAGGTAATCTAAAAATTAAAGTGTCATAATATTACATGTAATGATAGGGCCTCCTATTAATAATGTATACCAGTTGAGGGGGCATAAGAGGAATAAGGGGCAAGATGGTGTTAAGAGTGTGAATGAGCATTAGAGGTGCTGCTAAGAGAATTGGTTAGAAGCATCTCAACGTGGCAAGATTGTGTTGGAGAAGGATATCTTGTTAGGGACTTTAGTATATAATATAGGATTATTCTTTGAGGGAAGTTAATCAATGGAGGCCCCTAGCTCCTCAAATTGCTAGAACTATCCTTTACGACTCCGTTTGGTTCATTATTGGGTAGTTTTTAGAATAATCTTTTGAAAAAAAGTTAAATTGGGTAGGTATTACGATGTAGATTTTGAAAATTACATAAATACCCCTATGTTATTTTATTACTAAACACCCCTATAATAAATATTCAAAGTTAACAAAAACACTCTCAATCCACTCATAAATACGGACAGCCGCCCACCACCGCCGGAGGGTGCCGGAGTTGCCTTATCGGCGTATGACCTACTCGATCTTGTCGGTCGTCGCCGATATGGCATTTTCCGGCCAGATCCACCGTGGATTTGGCCAAAATGCTAGAACTACGGCTAGATCTGCCATTGAAAGTCAGATCTGGCTGCATTTGATCGTCAACGACGGCCAAAGATAACGTGCTACGACCAAAGATCTGATCGAAAAAAGTTAGATCGGCGCACTACCGACCAAATTCAATCTGTAGTACGCCATTACACCAGATTCCGGCCAGATTCCAGCAATGGTGGCCAGAATCTGGTAAATTTGGGTTACTATGGTGTTTTTGTCAATTTAAAAAAAAAAAAAATTCGGGATTGTTTAGTTAAATTAAAAATTTAGGGGGATTAAAGGAAATTAAATAATTTTGAAAACTATTTTGAAAATAAGTGAAATAAAGTTAACTTTTTCGGAAAAACTAGAATAGTTTCCCAATATGTGAACCAAACGAAGCTACATTTTTGCTTGTTTTTCCTTACTAATTTGGGAAGAGCTTGTTACTCAGATCATTATTAATACAGAATTACTTTTATTCATGTTTGTCTTGGATAATTCATTGGATTGCTGTGTGTATTGGTCTGGATCAGTGTTGGCAGGGAATCTTATCACACAACAATGAGATCTCTCTTTTACAAGACAGGGAATAGCACTGAACATGGTGGAAAGTCCATACGATAGAGGGTTCCCAAAAACTTAGCAATTTTGGCCTCAATCAAGATGAACACCTGAACAGAATATAAACTTGTTAAAATATGAAAAGGTCCATTATCTTACTAAATGAAGTACGTACATATATAAAAGGAAAAGCAACTTAAACTCGTTCCATTTGAAAGTAGTTTCATAGCCGAGTCTGAACCATTGTTCCATAGAAGCCACGTAGACCACAGAATCAACACCATATCTCCAATGCAAAGATGCATGACTCCTAATATAGGTTTTCAGTAAGTGTCTTGAGCACCGTTGATTCATGGATACTATAAGTTTAGAATGGAAATAGCTTTTCTTACAAGTAACTTCTAGTCTGATAAATCCAAGATTTTGCTGAAGCAAAATTCACACTTCTTTTCCATTATTATTGTATGCGGCCCTGCAGCACTGCACTCATGGGCTCAAATACTTTGCAAAACACTATCAATTATTCAGTAATAACTCTCAATCTTACAAGACCAATTTCTTGTTTATAGGGTAAACCATATACAACAATGTTTTTTACCCAAAGTAGAAATTAATGAAGACATGTAAGGCATTACTTATAACTTTGAAATATATATATCACTTAATATGGCATGTAAGACAATAGTTTGACTTGTAAACTACAATAGAGTGCAAACAAGAGTGGCAACCAAAATATATAAAACACAGGAATAATGAGAGGTATCATTAAAGAAACTCAACTATGTAGAAACAGGGTATCCCTTACATCTAAAAAGTCAGGCAGCAACATAGCTTTGCTACATTCAAACAAAATCTATTGGTAATAACATCATTTGCACCTTTCCAATACTGGGGGTTCATATAGCATTTCTTACTGATAATGAGAATAAGAGATTCTAGAACCCACTCATCGCACAGCTCATCTATTCCTATTGATGTCATGCAAACTTTACGCAATGTTAGGTTGATATAAAATTATGTAAATCGGAATGAATGACGGCCAAATTACAATAGGAACAATAAAATTTATGAAAAACAAAGAGCATCAAACAAATGAAGCCTTAAAGGCGTACAAAGTAAATTGACAAATAATCTATAAAATTTAATGCACATATTAAAAAGATGGGAACTTGTGAGAAACACATGGCTGTACACATAACAACACTTGATAAGATTTACATTTAACAAAATTGAAATATATTTGATATCCCATGTGAGGAGATTCTCATAAAGTTGACCCAACTTTCCCAGCTTCTACTACTTATCTAGAACCATAAATTATAGAAAAATTCACCACCATAACACATGAAATTTACACCCCAACACTTATCAAAAAAACAACATAAATGCTTCTTTATACCCGAACTGTGGATGAAATGACAGTTCAAAGAACTATGACAAAAACCTTCTTCGTTAGAGGCCGATTAGGAGGGTTGTAACTTTCTGGGAAAGTAGGGAAAGGATGACTACCAAAAGAACTTCCACAAGCAAATAGCCTAATAACAAAGTTCATAAAAAACTTTCAGTCAGTCAAGCACGTTTCACCCCTAAAAGATACAATATATATATATATATATATATATATATATATTATATATATAATATTATATATATATATATATAATACTAGAAACTACAACCAATATCACTCCAAAACAACAAGCTTGGGCAGAAGAGCATCTAGAGCCAACGTTGCCCAGTTCAATGTGTATTAACTAATTTAGAAGCAAATAATTCCATTTTTCACAAAACGGTATCACAATTTAATTAGCTTAGAAGCTTCACAAATCACTCAAGTGCATTCTCTCAACTCTCACCAAATGAAATACCCTGCAAGCTACATTGTTGTTACTAAGTTGAATTAAAAAATCAAAATTAATATAAACTACATATCTACATGGATCCACTAATAAACAAACGCAAATCTTGATTAAGGGAGAATTTGCATAATCTCAATCCGCCAGTACCCCATTTTATCATTAAATTCAGGTACTACTCAGCTTTTGAAAGAAAAGAATTTTTTTTTATTCAAAAAAACAAAGGCAGAAGACTGTACGATACTTTTATAAGCACCTAGTCTTCGTCTACAGTCAAGCTTTCCGGTGAACACCACCGCCCAAATATGAGCTTTCCAATTGGTTATCAACGGAATTATGTGAGCTTTATTCCTTTTGGGAAATAAGCTTACCTTATAAGGAGAGTGGAGATGAGCAGAGAGAAAAAAAAAAAAGAAAAAAAGGCCACGCCCAGCGCCTCAAGTAACGCCACAAACCCGCAGGGACCGAGCAAGTTTCCGACGAAACTGCCGTGAATTTCCACCAACAAGATAGTGACAGTAAAGGAGAGCAGTGAAAACAATATGCAACAGCGCCGCCTCAAGACGATGCCGACAGCAACCTGAACTAGTTTCCAGCGAAAATGCTGTAAGGGTTTCCAAAATGAACCTCCAAGAAACAATATCAGATTGAAGTAGAGTCGTGAGAGTGAAATCGAATTGAATTAGGGGATTTGAATCCCGTTGTTTCTCATTTCAAAAATGTACAAAACGGCGTCTTTCTTTGTCATAATGTCGTTCAGTATGTTATTCTACATGAACAAATTACCTAAAATACCCCTGTCATATGAAAATTAATTCTCATTACTTCCTTAGTATGTTAGAACATGTTTTCTGACACCATTGGGGCTAAATTTCTGCGCTGCACCTACTATGTGATAATAAAAAAATTTAAAAATAATAATATAACATGAATATTTTGATGATTTATTTTATTTTGTATTTGGTATTTTCTTTATCTAAAATTTAGATAATCATTGGATTTTAATATATATATTTATATTTGGTATTAACTGATTAGGAAATTTTATACATTTCAATATGCATATAGTCAAAAATTCTAATACAAAATTATTATATAATTTATTGCTTGATTAAGGGAAAAAGGGAGGGGATTTATATCTGCCCTTTGGACGTGAAAATCTTTGTTCTACGAAATGTTATTTGGATATCGATGAAAAAAGCTTCTTTTTTTTTTTAGTGAATACATTGATAATCTTATTCTATGTTGTTTCATGTTTTATGAATTTTTTTTTTTTTGTTTATGTGTAAATAACCTATTATGGGCTAATATGTATTTTAACCTTTCATTAGATAATTTGCAGGTTTAAAAGCCTAAGATTTTTATAAAATTGATAACATTGACCGATACAAGTCTTGTAGAGAGTCATCTACGAAAGGAGGCCTTTCTTCAAGAAGGAAAAATTAAAATTCTAATACCGATTATCAATCTCATTAATTATGAGAGAATGTGTATTAAAGGAATTTTTATCAACCAATTGAAATTTGAGCCAAATATGGTATTTACATTTCTTTTCCTTCTAATGACAAATGCATAATACATAAGAAAAAAAAAAAAAAAAAACCAAAGGTGAGTGATTGGTTGCTATTTTCACAAAATGCAAAATTCAAAAGCCAATGATCGGTCACTCAATTTTGGTCTGCATGTTAAAACCTCGAAATTTAATATATATATATATGGAACTAATAGTTAAAAAAAAAAATGTCAGAATTTAGATAAAGCAAGGGAGTTATAATTGAAGAGCTGATAATGATTTAATAAATGCTTACCAAAAAAAAAGGTAGGGTAGCTAAGTCCCCTCAAAGTTTTGTTGCAGCCATTGGACTTGCATTTGAAGTCCAGCATCCCTCAAAGCATTCAAAGCTGAATGGTAAAGCCTCTCGTCAAGTCTTGTTCCTTCAGATTTCATATCCCTTAAAAGTTTCACCAATTCTTCAATCCTACTGAGTTTAGAGAAAACACCAACCATTATCCCACCCATTGCCCTATCAATCACCCCACCATTCATCCTATACTCATTGTAAAAATTCACACATTTCTCAAATTCTCTTGCCTTATTGTATGCACTTATCACACTTGTGTAACTCACCTTATCAGCTGCAACTTTTCTTCTCTTCATTTCCTTCCATAATTTCTCCACTTGCCTCAAATTCTTAGCCCTTCCATGCATGTCCATTAGAGAATTGTATATCCACACATTTGGCTCACAACCCTTTGCTTTCATTTTGGCTACAAGCCTCATTGCATCTCTTATTCTTCCTGTTTTCCCATACATTGCTACTATGCTTGAATATGCAACAACACATTTATCAAAACCCTTTTCTTGCATTTCTGAGAACACCATTTCTGCTTTTGAATACAACCCAATTCGGCAATATGCATTTATGATTGAAGCATATGTCACTTGCCCTGGACTGCACCCTTGTGAGATGAGTTGTTCATAAACCTTAATGGCAGCCCAATATCCTCTTTTTTTACAGAAGCCATTCACAATTGCACATAATATACAATCAGAAACCTTCAATTTTGCTTTCTTCATTGACACAACAATGTCAAGAGTCTTTTCCATTGAACCTTGTTCAACATACATCAATACAACCTTTAAAAACACTTCTGGATCCCTCAACACTCTCTTCTCTTCTGCTTCTTTGAATAGCTCTTCCGCTATCTTCACTTCTCGAATGCTTGCAAAAGAACATATCAAAGAAGCGTATATACAAGAGTCCTCAGAAATACCTTTCCTTGTCATATCTCTGAAGATTTTAAGAGCTTCAAAAGCACGACCACATTTCCCTAACGAATCGCATACAAGTCTATAAATGTTGGTAAAAAATGGTGTTGCATCTAATTTTCTACCTTCAAATTCATGAAACAAGCTAACTACTTTCTCTGTATCACCAATTTTGTTATAAGCTTCCATAATCTGACAATAACAACTAGAATTAGGAACAATTTCAGCAGATTTCATTGTCTCATACAACGTAATTGTGCTACTATACATATGAAGTTTGTTATAACCTCTCATTGCAGAATCAAAAGCCAATACAGCAATATCACCATCTGTTTTTAAAACTTGAAGCAAACTGTTTAAAACTTTGAATTTTCTAGCAGAAATGCAACTAGTAATCAATGTGGAACAAGTATTAGCATCAGGAAACACATTGTAAATTTTAAAATCTTCAGAAAGTGAGATAACGAGACCCCATTTCTTAGATTTTATCAAGTACCTGATGAGAAGCTTTAGAGTTGGTTTTTCTGGTCTAAATTCTCGATTTTCTTTAGCTTTGCTGTAGTACTCATAAGCTAGTTGTTGTGTTTGAGGATCTTGTAACAAACCATACAAAAAACTATCAAAATTGTTGGGTGAAAATTGTTGATCCGATTCAATCATGGGATTTGGCAAATTTGTAGAAGAATCTTCCAGGATTGGAGATGGATAACCTGAAGAATTTACATGAAAGAGTGAAAGATTTGTGGTTGGGAGAATAAAAAAGGGAAGGTTTTTGCACGATGAAAAGAGGGTAAATTTGTAAGATTTGATGGAAGAGTTAATAAAAGGAAATGAACAATCTGAACAAGTGGAAATGGCCATGGCCATTGCAGATAGATAAGATGTTGAATTAATGATGAATATTGAGGGGCTTTATGTTATTATATAAATATATATACCTTATCCCTACAAGATTTTCTTTTGGCTATAACTATTATATGAACCACTAATTTCGTTATACGTGGACAAGTTTTTACATAAGATATCCGGTCAAGAAGAATGCCACGTCACTTGAGTCTTTCGGCGGTTTAGCTTAGGTGATATGGTATGACTACTAATTTTTATAAGATTTCAATACGAAATATATTTATTATCTAAATAAATATAATATACAATTAATGCTCTTTTTTTTTTTTTTTTTAAATATGAGATTGTTATTTGTTATCCAACCACCAACGTTACCAATTATTACTTTGGTAATTTCTTATTTGGGCCAGCAAAAAATCTAGACACCCCCATCCCAATTGAGAATTGTTATTCTTATTCACAACTTAATTTTATAAACTTTTTCTTATAACTCTAGCGTAATAACTTATAATTAGATAAGCGAGACCCATAGTAAATAGGAGAAATCTATTTAAAAGTTGACTAATAACAAACTGCTACGTCGAGATTGTGAGAGAAAATTTGTGGGATTAAATTGTAAATGTAGTTTTGCCGTAAAACTATATATAGAATAATCAACTTTTTGGTTAAATGGTTCCTAATATTTAAGTCATCCTTCACAACATAAGAAATTTTATACTACTTATTTCAAATCTTAATTATAAAATATACTTAAAAGACAACATTTAAAAAGAAAATTATTTTGTTTAGTTAGACATTAAAAGGATTTTCTTTAATAAATTTTTTATCCAAACTTATATTTAATATTTATTTCCCTCATTTATAAAGTGTCAAAAATTATTGTCACATTCTAGATCATTACGAATGAGCCTATAATTTGGCTTGGTTTTTCCATAACTAAACAAGCGTACTTTGAGTGGATGATGCTTGTGTGAAACCGGTGTGGACCTAATTAATTTCTTTTTCATCAATTTTTTACCTTCAAATTTGTAAAAAAATTAATAAATTATTTTATGGCGTTTTATGAGTGATCTTATTTTGCACGGTTGGAAACATATTGTTCTTTAATTATATTGTCTAAAATGTTTGACTCCATCTACGCAAATTCTGATTCATCAACATTTTTTATGAGAATACAAAGGAGCTCTCTATAGCTAGACTATTGAAACAAAACAAAATTATATGTATTATTTAAAATAGTGAGAAGCACAATTACAACATTACTAATAAAAATAGTAATTTATCATACTCTAGAAAAGAGATAACTGCCCGCAATATCATCAAAGATTTTTTCTAATATCCTTCCAAGTTATCATTGTTGACGGTCTTTCTTCGCCTTTCTCAGCAATTGTCCACGTGCCAACTTCTCACGATGCGCATCAATCGTAGTTCTATAATAATCAAACTTGCGATCAACCTCAGCTTTAGTTTTTTCAAAATAATAAAGTAATTGTTAGCGTTGTGCAGCGGAAATACAAACTCTATAGCTAGTTATTGAAATATATTAATGACTACTAAATGGTCAATAATAAATACATAAATAAAGAATATAAGAATTTAATGAGGTTCAATATTATTATCTATACCTTCCGGCCTAGTAGAAAAACTCTACTATTTTTTTTTAAGAATATTACAAACTTTTAAACAATACTACAAATCTCCAAAATAAAAAGAAATACAAAGAAACTCTAAACTATAGAATAAAAACCCTTTTCAATAGGAGTATAAGGAGAAACGTTTTTTGAATGATCAATACTATAACTTGACCTCCTTTATATAGGCCCAAAATCCTATTCTCATTCCTATTCCCACTTGATGCATGATTGCTAATTATCCTATTCCTACAAGATATAAGATTGCTAATTATTTCATTCCTCCTAGATATGAGATTGCTAATTATTCTATTCCTATTGCCACTTGATGTAGGATCGCTAATGAGTCAATTTTTTAACAAATCTCCACCTTGATAAATTAGCAAACCTTCAAAGTTCTTTTTTATTCTTTTGACAAATTCGACAACACCTTCAAATGCGTCAAATGGCGCTATCAAACACATAGTTTTATTTCATAAATTGTCAATATCCTTTACCAAAATCATGCAAATACCTACTCACAATTCCAACTGTATGTGAAATGTTGGGCCTAGTATACATCATTGTATGCCAATGATCAATCTGATTTATTTTGTACTTCTTCCTAATCATAAACCTATTAAATCGCTTGTGCCACTATCTCGGTGACTTCTTCAATAGCGATGTCTCTAATTTGCTAACCCAATATTCCTTTCCAACCAGTAACAAATCCAAAAATTTCTATTAGAGTTGACCAAAATAAAAACTAATTGCACATTAATATTTTTGTTAAAGTAGGCCAAAATCCAAAAATTGTACATATTAGTATTTTTTTTTTTTTTAAAATCATGGCCCACCCTCAACAATTGCTAGATCGACCCCTGTTTCCAGCAACCCTATAACCATCTAGTTGAGACATGTAGATTTTCTTTTTCAAATCATTGTGTAAAAACAGGATTTTCACATTAAGTTAAACTAGTTCAAGATTCATATACGCTACCAAGGCCAAGAAAATCAAAATAGAAGAACTCATCACTACTGGAGACTATATTGTGACAGTTGGAATGCTATCCACCTTAGTAAGAACTTTTACCTTTCATTCTCATTCTAAACATATTGATGTGAGTTATCATTAGATTGGAGATGTGTTGGATATGGAGTTGTTAATGATTCAAATATGACGAATAGAGCCTTGCCTAAAGGGAAGCTTGAAGCATGTAGGCAGTATTGGGCTTGGCAAAGCCCCTCACATGAGGTGGAGGGGGTGACTTATTGGGCTGTCCACCTAAATTTGGGCTTGAATAAGACTTGTAACCCCAAAGCCCAGAAACAAAAGAAAAGGAAAAAGGAAAAGAAATAAACTGAAAGCAATTCACTTTAAAAAATTGGCAGTCTGCCACATTCATTCGTAAGAGTGAAAAAGAAGCAAAAAGTGATAGTGAAGAGAAAAGAAAAAAAATGGTCTTTTTTTTCTTTTTTTGGCTTTAGGAGCTCAAATCCAACGGTAAAACTTCCATCAATTTCTACGGAATTTCAGTATGTTATTGATGGTGATCCAAGCTTCACATATAACGGTTTGGATCGTCAATCTTTCTCTTATTTTGCTTTGTTGTTAAGAAGCCCAAACTCTTTACGACGTGAGTGATAGAAAGAAGTAATATTTACATGTCACTTGTTGACGAAGAAATGTATTTAAAGGTGAATATTTACATGTATGTTTTAGGCATGGGAATTTTAAAATTGTTTCTAATAACAATGCACTTCTTTAATGGTGATGAAGATACATTATCTCATGTTCGTGTACTATATGTTTGTGTTCATTAATTTTGTAATTTGTATCATACTAATTACTGCCATGACAGGGAAAATATATTTAACCAATTAACAACACAATATAAGCAAAGGTCTTCAAGTTCCTGACAGTTGGCATTGTGTCAAAAGAATTCAGTCTGTTGACCTGGGGGGCCTTCTTTGATTTCGTAATTAATCTAAAACACTGGAAAGCAGAAAAAAGGCTGGTCCTGGGTGGTGGTGTCAATGCCACAATCTCAACATCATTCAAGTACTCGTGCTTAAGCGCATTGTTAATAGTGACCCTCTCCCTTGGATTATATGTAAGCATACTCTATTTATAACACAAAAAACTTCATATCAGTCAAGAAATTAAACCACTAATATCGTATGGCCTAAAGAAATACGCAGACTTACAGAAGTAAGGTCAATTCCGGCTCGGCCAAGATCTGGAAATGTTTCCAACATTTTCTGATCAATGAAAACAATGTAAGGCATAGAATTTAAAGATACTAGGAAAGAAAATTCAAATAAGAAAACCAATCTCAAGAGTTCCTCTTACTGCAAGCTTGTTTAGAGCATTTATACAAGGATCATCAAGCATGACATTCACTTCTCCTTTGAGTCTTCACAAAAGAAATATCATGTCAGGATTATACTTGGAAAGCTAGACATAAATATATAATTAGGCGGTTTCTCAATGCCAAAACAAACCTACGAACTAATTGCAATTCGGCCGTCCTACAGTCTTGAGGGACTCGAGGCTGCTGCCTCACTTCTCCTGTGAATCTTCATAAAAGAAATATCATGTCAGGATTATTCTTGGAAAGCTACACATGAAAATATAATAAGGTAGTCTCTCAATGCTAAAACAAACCTACGAATTGCTCGCAATTGGTTGTCGTGAGGGAATAGAGGCTCCCGAGTTAACATCTCACCAAATATACAACCCACAGCCCACACATCTGTTGGAGTTGAGTATAACCGGGAGCCAAGCAGCAGCTCCGGTGCAGTGTACAAGGAAAATGCCATCTGCACACAATAAATATATAGACATTTTAAAGAAATGGAAACTCGCAATAAAGAGCCAAAAACAGATGAAAATAGAACATTACAAGAGAGCTAAGACTAAATGAAAATAGGAATTTCAATAAGAGTAACGGGTAAATTTCAATACTTGGGAAGAATGTTCTTTAAGAGGAATTCCAAATGCTCTGGACAGCCCAAAATCTGCGATTTTCACTATGTTGCTTTTGAGATCTATCAGAATATTCGTAGGCTTTATATCTCGGTTGAGAATTTCAAGTGCATGACAATATGCTACACTAATAAAAATTTGCTTCAGAATAGCCTGCAAAGAGGCAGATGAAGAATGAAAATCAAGGTTACTGAAGCTATTTAGTTTCTCCTTTCCCCAGTATCAAATGTAGTCCATTGTTTCAGTTTTGTTATTCTAAATTTCTAACTGTGAATGCTAATGCTAATGCAAATACTCTTACAATACTGATTCACAAAATCAAGCCAAAAAAATCTTGCTTACTTTTATCATGAGGGTTTTCATAGTAGTAGTTGCTTTGGCTATGAATGAATGAAGATCAAGGTCTAGGTACTCAAACACAAGATAAACATAATTCCCACTGGTCAGTACATCCAGCAACCTGCAGTCAGCATCTGAATGATATTACTTTCGAAAATGAGAATTCAACATCCGAATCAGCTATAGCTTGTAATCACAACAACATATAGAGATTAAGAAAGTGATTTGGTAAAATTCACAATAATACTTTGCATTACAACGAGTCTTAATATATTATAAGACTACGGCTAATTAAGGAATGTACAACCATAAACAGAGCTACAGCTATTTAAGGAATATACAATCAAAGAATATAGAGTTGCTATACAAAGGATTTGACACAGAGGAAATCACGGATAAATGTGATTTATGTAGGTTCCCTTATACGACCCCTCAAAATGGACGTTCCATCAGCAACGATGATTTTGCCACGTAACAAGCTGAATCGAGACCGAGCAAGAGGCTTTGTCAGTAAATCAGCAAGTTAGTCATCCGTGTGAACATGGGCAACACGCAATTTTCCACGACTAACAAAGTCACGAACAAAGTGAAGATCGATAACAATGTGTTTCATCCTGGAATGCATGACAGGGTTGAGACTAAGCTAGGTTGCGCCAACGTTATCACAGAGAAGTAGCGGTGGTTCACGTAACGTAAGCCCAAGTTCATCAAGAAGAGATTTCATCCAAGCTATATCTGAAGCTGCAATGGCCAATGCACGATACTCTGCTTCCGTAGAGGAGCGAGCCACAGCCTTCTCCTTCCTAGTGCGCCAGCTAATGGGATTATTTCCCAGAAAAATTATATAAGCCGTGGTAGACTTACGATCATCAAGATCACCACCCCAGTCAGCATCGGAGAAGCCCCTAAGCACTGGGTTTGATTGTCGACGCAGTAGGAGACCAAAGTGAATGGCCTGCTTGACATAGCGCAGGAGCCGTTTAACATGTTGCCAGTGTGTGACTATTGGTTTGTGCATGAACTGAGCAAATCGATTGACTGCAAAACCGAGGTCTGGGCGAGTGAGCGAGAGGTACTGAAGGGAGCCAATTGTGCGTCTGTATTCAGTAGTATCACAGTTAGCAGAACCATCATCAAGCATGAGCTTAGCAGTCACAGACATGGGGGTTTGAACTTCCTTAGCACCAGCCATCTTCAACCTAGTAAGGAGATCATGAATGTAACGGTTCTGAGAAAGAAACAGAATGTAACGGTTCTGAGAAAGAAATAGACCTTGCTGAACTGGAATAACTTCCACCCTGAGAAAATAATGTAGATCACTGAGTTCCTTCAGAGAAAATTTTTCACCTAAAGATTTGACAACATGCTGCAAGAACTGGCTATTATTACCGGTGAGGATTAAATCATCAACGTACACCAGCACAAATAGTAAAACTCCATCCTGATTGAAGATAAATAAGGAGCTGTCAGACTTGGAATTACAGAAACCCAACTCAAGAAGGCCGGAGCGCAATGCATTGTACCAGGCTCTAGGCGCCTACTTGAGACCATAAATGGATTTCTGGAGAGAACAAACATGATGAGGGTGGGGCTGATCGATAAAGCCTACAGGTTGCTGCATAAATACTTGCTCAGTTAACTGGCCATGAAGAAACGCGTTATTGACGTCGATTTGCTTGAGGGGCCAATTGTTTGACAGAGCCAGTGAGAGAATGAGCCGAATGGTGGTCGGTTTTATAATAGGGCTGAAAGTCTCAGCATAATCGACACCTGAGCATTGATTGAACCCCTTTGCTACAAGACGTGCCTTAAACCGATCCACTGTACCATCTGGATGACGCTTAATCCGAAACACCCATTTACAGCCAATTAAATTGGAAGCTGAAGGCTTAGGAACCAGTTTCCAAGTACCATGTGAGACTAATGCAGTAAATTCATCTGCCATGGCTTTACGCCACTTAGGGTCCTTGAGAGCCTGAGAGACACAAGTTGGTTCCAACGGTGGTGCAAGAGGATGCTTGGTAGCAACCGAGACCTGCTTGGGACAGAAAATATTTTCTGAGCCCGAGTGACCATGGGATAAGTGCGAGTAGGAGGTGCAGGTGCTATGGGCAGAGGCGACTCTGAGGAGGGTGGATTATTAGTAGGAGAAGATGAGACCATACCTGGTGTAGGAGACGAAGTCACGGTTGTCGTGTCATCAGGCGCTGTAGGTGTAACAGGGTGATCATCCAATGGAACCATGCAAATCGGGGGAACATGAGTGGGATTGGAAGAAGGAGGACACAGTGTAGCAACTGTTGTAGGAACAGAGGTAGTCGCTTTTGTGAAGGGAAAAATGTTTTCATCAAAAGTGACATGACGAGAGAGATAAATCTTACCCGTGTGAAGGTCCAGACATTGAAAAGCATGTTGAGACAGGGAGTAACCGAGAAAAACACAAGGTTGGGACTTGGGTTGAAATTTATTTGCACGATAGGGAACAAGCCAAGGGTAGCATTGACAGCCAAAGGTGCGCAACTTATGATAGTCGGGAACCCGTCCAAATAACACTTCAGAGGGACTTTGACGTGAGTGTAATTGAGTAGGAAGACGATTAATAAGGTAAACTGCTGTGGCCAAGGCATATGACCAATAAGTGGAAGGAGCCGAGGCATGATGTAAAAGGGTCATCCTCGTTTCAACAATATGGCGATGGCGACGTTCGACAGTGCCATTTTGCTGGGGAGTATGCGGGGCTGTGGTGAAATGGCTAATGGCACGAGCAGCCAGAAGTGGTCTGAGTTTGATAAATTCACCACCGTTGTCAGAATAAAAATTTTTCATTTTTCCGGCGAATTGGTTTTCAACCATGGCAATAAATTGTTCAAAAATAAAAGACACATCCGACTTATTACGCATAGGATAAAATCAACAGTACTTTGTGAAATGATCAACAAGAAGTAAATAATAGTAGTAGCCATCAACAGAAGGAACCGGGGATGGTCCCCAAACATCGGCATATAAATATTCAAGAGGAGCATGGCTCGTAAGGGAAGTGACACTAAAGGGCAATCGATGTGACTTATTACAATGACACGAAATACAGGACAATAAGGACTTAGAGGAGGACACAGGCAAGTTATAGCTACGGAGAAGAAATGATAAAAGCTTTGGAGCAGGGTGACCTAACCGATAATGCCAACGATCAACTGAAGTACGGGTTCCAGCCAAAGTGACAACATGAGCTTGAGGTGAGGACCGACATAGTTCCATAGGATAAACACCACCTTCACATCTACCGCGCATGAGCACCACTCCCGTCATCCGATCCTTCACAAGGTAAAAGGAGGGGTGAAATTCAACAATAACATTGTTATCATGAGTAAACTTGTGAACGGAGATTAAATTTTTATGAATAAGAGGCACATGCAGAGTTTCTTTTAAAGTAAGAGAACGAGAAGGGGATGAAATGGTAGTGGAATCGATGTTAGCAACTTGCAAACCTGTACCATCTCCAAGAACAACCTCATCTTGTCCATCATATTCAGAATGAATGGAGAGATTAGCCAAATCAGACGTAATGTTATGAGAAGCAGCGGAATCAAGAAGCCATTTGCCATTCGATGGAGCTGTAGAAGTAGTGCAGTTGGCAGCAGGTCGAGACTGCAGTTTTTCACAATTCTTTGCAGTGTGACCGGGGTGATCACAGATTTGGCACACATCAGAGGACTTCTTTGAAGGAGCTTTGTTGGAGAAATTTTTGTTTGGGACGATTCTTGTTGTTTTTTAACCGAGGATTTGATGGCTTCCGTTGGGAGGAATTTGCAGTGACAACCAGGGTCGAAGAATTTCCGTCCATGCGTTTGAGATAGTGTTCATGACCGAGTAACAGATCATGCAACTCTGCAAAAGACAAGGCAGTTTCTCTCGTACGAATGGGAGCCACTATATCTCGAAACTCAGAGCCAAGGCCATTAAGCACATATAACGTCAAATCATCATCTGAAACAGGTGCATCAATCAACGAAAGTTCATCAGCAATTACCTTAACTGCATGAAGGAACTCAGACACCGTGCGGGAACCCCTTTGAATAAGGGTAAGATCTTCCTTCAACTGCATGATCCGGGCCTGAGATTTGCTAGCAAACAAGCGGGCGAGATGCTGCCAGGCATCACGGCTTGTAGTTGCCATAGCAATAAGGGGCATAACTGCTTCAGAAACTGAAGCAAAAATGGCATTCAGCAATAACTGATCCTGTCGGTACCAGTGCGCATAGAGTGCCACAGCAGAGGTAGAAGAATCCGCAGTAGGTGGAGGAGGACACCTAAGGGTGCCGTCCACATATTTCATTAGATCATATCCAATGAGAATGGTGAGGAAAGTTGCACGCCAGGAAGGATAATTTGAGGAAGTGAGTTTGTAGGGCAATTGGCTAGAAGTGTTGATCGTAACGAGAGGAACTGTAGACGCAGAGTTGGAGCCAGTGGGCTCTGGGGGAGGAGAGTTAACACCAGACGACATGGATTTGGAAGAGGTTTCTGATCTCGTGGGAGAAGAACGCTCTGATACCATATAGAGATTACGCAAGTGATTTGGTAAAATTCACAATAATACTTTGCATTACAACGAGTCTTAATATATTACAAGACTACGGCTAATTAAGGAATGTACAACCATAAACAGAGCTACAGCTATTTAAGGAATATACGATCAAAGAATATAAAGTTGCTATACAAAGGATTTGACACAGAGGAAATCACGGATAAACGTGATTTATGTAGGTTCCCTTATACAACAGACAGTAGTATGTTGCAATCAAATAAAGATTCCGCTCATGCAACAATGAAACTATCAAATGTCCATACCAGCTCATTCATGAAGGAAAGAGGCGCAGGTTATTGCTACTTCACACAAGAGTCGGAAACATCGGTGCAAAATATCACAATTTTTGCATCAGGATACAAAGAAAGTTAATTATTGAACCACAACAATTAAAGATGAAAGTAATACAAGTAGTTTACTAGTTATACCCAACTACAGTTTCAAAAACCTGAAAACTAATGTTTGAAACTGTGTGTTTGTGCATCTGAATTTCATTACTTTCAAATTCAATTGCATGAAACAGAATTAACAGCAGAAGATGTCAAATCTTGAGAATCTCAGGCAACAAAACTCTCAATCTTTCACTAAATTGCATAAACAATATTCTATGGCAATTCTTCATTTTGACATGTAGTAAAGATACATAGTTTTCTTAATGAATAAGTTAAAAAAGAAAGAAAGAAGAAAAACCTGATAATATTGACATGATCCAACGTCCTGAGAAGAGAGATTCCTCTGATTATTTGGCTTGGGACACCTTCAACTATATTGGTGATAGTTAACATCTTAATTGCCACCCATTCCTTAGTTTTCCGATGACGGCAACGGTACACCTCCCCATATTCCCCTTTTCCTATCTTCTTAATTACCTTGTATTCCCATTGTTTTACATTCTCCATTTTATCTGATCAAAACTCTCTTTTTAATCAATTCACTCATTAAGTTGAAGAACAAGTACTAGAATTACAAAGAACCAAACTGCTAATTAAAGATTGAATCAAGATTCAATTCGAACTAATAAAGGAAGAGAGTTCCTGAACTCAAGAAATAGCAAAGAATTACTTAGGTCCTGTTAATCAGAAAAAGCCACTTCAATCCCCTGTTAGCCGTTATATTCATTTAAATCATGTAAGGGCATTTTTGTCCTTCTATAAAAATAAATAATGAAAATTTTAACTATAACTTTTGAAATTCAATAATAAAATGTTATAAACATTCAAAATAAATAAATCAGCAAACGCTTTCCCACTCCTACATCTATATCATTATTCATTAAGTAATTTTATAAAAGGAATGTAAATCTGATGATGACTAAAGTAGTTTTATAGAGATTAACGTTTATACTTTATCGAAAACATTTTATTTGAATGTTATTGTAAAATTACCGTGAATATATATTTTTTTAAATATATAAATTTTATACCGTTGTTGGGCTTTTAATTATTTCAGAAAAACTAGAAGGGGTCAATAAAATTTAATGGTATATAGAAATGAAAGTAATACAAGTTTTTGCCCCCAGATTTTGTGTACTTTCTTAATGAGTGTGGTATTAATTAAATAATCAATTTTAAGTTTTTTTTTTTTTTTTCTTATTTAAAGAAATAGCTAGGCATACTAATACTCTGATAGTTGTGATTAACTGAAAACATTTTTATTTGATAAAATACTCTTGTTCAAGTATTCATTATTTACTTGTTTTCAACATTTTTATCGTGGGCATTTTCTTTATTTTTATGGTTGTCCACCCCCTTCCTTCTTTTTTTCTTATTAAACCCATTTATAATATATTAAAGCATTTACAATGGTACTCTTTATTTTTAAGAGCATCTTTCATATAAAAAAAAAAATTTTTATATAAATAAAGAACATCTTTATTAATTTTTAAATATAAAAAACACAATTTTTATTCAAATCCAATACTCTTTAAATTTAATAAAAATAATCTTTATTTTAAAAAAAAAGAAAAATAATAAATAAAATATATAGAAACTTGTAATTTATTAATTAAAATTAGGATAGAAAATAAAATTTGACTCTCTAAATGTGGAGAGTATTTAAAGAGTCAAACTCACTCTCTAATTTATATTTTAAAGATAAAGAATATATTAAACTCTTGTTTTTATGGATAGACTCTTTATAATAAAGAGTCTTTGAGATGCTCTTAAGAGTTTAGATATATATATACAAAAAAATCAAATTTCTAAATATAATTATGAAGAACAAAGGAAATATAAAATTTTGGAATTATAACACAATGATTTATTCTGAAGGTGTAATTTTTAATTTTTTTTTAAAGGATAAACATGTAATTACAACAGAAATGAGCAAAATAATATTAATATATGGGGTCAGTAAAACCACTCATTTTGTAATAAAATCTAGAATCTGGCAAATACTAGAATTATTTTCTTAATTGTTATTTTCCAGATTTGAATAGTAAAAATACATTTATGAAAGAGCATAAAAGACAGTAAACTGAAGCACAAATGAGAATCACCTCACTTGTCAATCTTTCACATCAAATTAAGATATCAAAATTAAACAACTACCAATGAATTAGAATCACCTCATAATAATATACTAAATTCCAAATGCAATTCTCAGAACAAGCAACATTAAACGCCTGATTTATGTGCATTAATATAAACTTCTACAAAACTGTGCTCCTCCCACAGACAAAACAACAATATTTCTTCCAGTCGTTGCAAGGCTTGATTCTTATACAAATGCTCCAAAATTTAGATTTTGATGTTGAAATATTCTGGGTCGAAGTGATGTAACCTAACATAACCATCTTCACCTCCACTCGAGAAACTGAATTATAAAACAAATTTCAGTCAATACCATTTAATTACAATTCTAATCTGTCATTAAAAGATTCAACATTTTCACTGCAAAAGGAAAATAAGTCTAAATTATTAAAATTCAGTAATGTCCATCAGGTTTGACAAGTTATCGCGTACAAGGCTTAACTTTTTCCACTAGTGTAGAAGGATACTGTCACGTAACAACAATCTCCTAAATAGAAATACGGGAGTACTTTTTTAGTTGTAGACTGATGAAACAAAAACATAGCTGGACTTGCGCAGGAATCTGATTCACATAAAACTTGTATTTGACGAAGTTGGAAACTGTTAAAACTTCATTCTAATGATTTCAATAAAATGTCGAAGAATACAGTTACTCAATGTTTCATGTATCAGAATCTCTTTGGGGAAAAAAGGAAAATATTATCAAATAGTATATTCATCGGATATAGCAACCAGCAGAATGAGATCAAACACAAGAATTACACTCAGGTTAAGGTGAGTTGATTGAAGAAGAGAGCATACAGTAATTTATGGCCATAACAGTTTTAAATTAAACCAAAACCCAACGACTCCCTTCTTAACACACAAATCAGAGCTTTTATTTGAGACACCAATCGTTTAACTTAATCTATACACAAATCATGAACAACCATATTAGCTCTACAAAGGATATATCTTACACACCAGAAAAAAACATCACAATGAGCATTTGAGCTTCAAAAGTAATATAAGAAACAAGGGAGACTTGACAGAAATCAGAAGTTTACAAGCCTTTCCATAACTGATTTGTAAAGAATAATTAACTGCAACAAAAGAAGGCTATACCTTTTACCATCAGGATTGAAAGCTAGAGCATTTATAGGTCCAAAGTGCCCTTTCACGCCTCCAATTTCTTCTAGAAGAAGCTACAAACGCAAAATCAAAGCACATAAAAAACAGAAAACTGCAGCACCACAGTTCAAAATAAGTAACCATCAATGGAAGTGAAAGTAATATTTATAGTAGGACTATTAATAAGTTCAGCTCCAATGAAACTAATTTAACCTTGTCATAGAATTTGGCTTCAAACTTCCCAGCACGATGATCAGTTGTCGTGACAGCTGAAGCATCCTGACCACCTCCAAGCACCACCTGGAAAGTACAACAATGTTAAAGTGGACTTAATCATCAGTTGATAAAATTCTTTACACAGAAAAAAAGTACACCAAAACTTCAGTAATGAGGCAGGTTAAAATTCCCAACATAATGAAAATGCTCTGAATTGCCATTATTAAAAAATCTGTTTCCCTTAAGCTCCATTGGTGTAAAAACTTCGTTTTCTATTTCTTTATTTTATGTACCATTTATCTTATAGTACTTTCAATTTTGGCGATAAGAAGCAACATGCAAACTCATGGAAAGAACAAATATAAAACAGAGTCAATCAATCATACTGAAGCATGATGCAAGCATACAAGCACACCCACAGTGACTGAACTGGCCACACTAAATGGGCAGCAATGTAAGTAAAACAGTAAAATGCATACAAAAGAAATCCAAGCTGTATGCAATTTTAAAGCATTGCTGTGAGAAACTCGTAAAGATGAAGATTGCATTGCAAAAATACAAGCAGACCCAGAGTGAGTGGATTGGCCTCTCCAAATCAGCGGCAATTGATGTAAAATATACTTAGCATTACATGTTATAAACTACATTTAAGCACTCAGTAGAATAAAATCTCCATGTACTGAAGCTGACTTCCATTTGCCAGAAAAGATTAAAGTACCACTTACATTTATTTAATTGGAGGTATGGCAAACTTAACTAGAACCAATGTTACTTGGGGAATGGCAGTGTTTTGGCGGTCCTTTAAGTCATTTCAATTGAAAAAACAAAAGATGTTTTGAAGATCATAGAGGGGAAGATCCTCCTCTGATATGGGACAAAATTAAATTTTGGGCCTCCTTATGGGCTACTGTTTCTTCAGAATTTTGAGATATTCCTTTTGTCTTAATTCATTTTAGTTAAAAATCTGCATTCTCCTAAACCAGCAGATTTCTTTTCATTGGGGTTAATTGCTAAAGGGCTGCTTTTGTAATTAGTTCTACAGCCTCTAGTCAGACCATTTTGCACCTAGTGTCTTTGGTAGCCTACAAGGTTTCTCTTTCATCCTTTTCTGGACAGCCCTTCATATATAACTTTTTAGACTCTTTTGTTAATAATACAAGTTTTTCCTATCAAAAGAAGAAAAGGATGAGCACAGTGACTCAAGAAATTGCACCATATTCTTTTGTTCTTGAAAATAAATTGCAACATAACTAGCAAAGCTAATACTATAGACTGATAGCATCAGTTCAGCTATTAGCATTCCATCAATACATACATGATCAAGAAGTGGAGACATAGCAACAGCATTGACTGGGCGCTCTGTCACATAGGCCTTGATAAGAGTCAATGTTCTCGAATCCCAAAGCTAAAAACAAAAACAAAAAATCTCATGTCAAATGAAGCAACAGGTTAGCTGAGAGTAACAGAAGAAATAATCTTAAAAAAAGAACATAAAAATAAAAAGAATTCCTTAACATTGCAAGTATTCACACCAAAGACTACCTTAGCAGATTTATCAAGGGAACCAGTGAGAAAGTGTGATCCATCTGCAGCTTTAGCAAGAGATGTTATTGTCTTCTTATGACCAGATTCCTTGTCTGACTCTTTAAGAAGTTTTCCTGTCTGCAAGTTTGAAAGAGAAAGTACAGCTAAAACTTACGCCTCAACTCAATCGATCAACAAAATTCAAGAATGAAGCACAAAACTATGAGAAACGGTTGCAATGACAACTTATGAACTAAAGTAAATGTCTTTCAACAAGAACCTGAAGTTAAGACACATTTTGCAAAGCTCGGTTTCAGTCAGGTTACAAATGCAACACTTTTGACCAAGAATTAGTCAATGCAATTCTGTATATAATACAGCTAGTACCTCAGAATCCCAAATACGAATTATAGCATCTTCTCCACAGCTTATGATAGTCTTGTTAAGTGGTCCCCAAACAGCTCTATTGATTCTCCCTTGAGGGCCTTTTAAAATAAGCACAGATTCCCCAGTCTCTGTAAATCAACAACATAGGCAGAATTAACTTTACACAACGCTCAATTGTAAAACTAAAGCATCCTTCTAACAAAAAGCCCAGGTGCATATCTCATGACCCTAATAAGGTTCACATCACGACACCAGAACATTGACAGATCAAACACTTACAATATAATAAAAACCAAACAGACACTATAACCCAAAGTAGACGCTATACCATAGTTAAGTAATATACGATAAAAGACAACAAATACTAGAATTATTTTCTTAATTGTTATTTTCCAGATTTGAATAGTAAAAATACATTTATGAAAGAGCATAAAAGACAGTAAACTGAAGCACAAATGAGAATCACCTCACTCATCAATCTTTCACATCAAATTAAGCTATCAAAATTAAACAACTAACAATGAATTAGAATCACCTCATAATAATATACTAAATTCCAAATGCAATTCTCAGAACAAGCAACATTAAACGCCTGATTTATGTGCATTAATATAAACTTCTACAAAACTGTGCTCCTCCCACAGACAAAACAACAATATTTCTTCCAGTCGTTGCAAGGCTTGATTCTTATACAAATGCTCCAAAATTTAGATTTTGATGTTGAAATATTCTGGGTCGAAGTGATGTAACCTAACATAACCATCTTCACCTCCACTCGAGAAACTGAATTATAAAACAAATTTCAGTCAATACCATTTAATTACAATTCTAATCTGTCATTAAAAGATTCAACATTTTCACTGCAAAAGGAAAATAAGTCTAAATTATTAAAATTCAGTAATGTCCATCAGGTTTGACAAGTTATCGCGTACAAGGCTTAACTTTTTCCACTAGTGTAGAAGGATACTGTCACGTAACAACAATCTCCTAAATAGAAATACGGGAGTACTTTTTTAGTTGTAGACTGATGAAACAAAAACATAGCTGGACTTGCGCAGGAATCTGATTCACATAAAACTTGTATTTGACGAAGTTGGAAACTGTTAAAACTTCATTCTAATGATTTCAATAAAATGTCGAAGAATACAGTTACTCAATGTTTCATGTATCAGAATCTCTTTGGGGAAAAAAGGAAAATATTATCAAATAGTATATTCATCGGATATAGCAACCAGCAGAATGAGATCAAACACAAGAATTACACTCAGGTTAAGGTGAGTTGATTGAAGAAGAGAGCATACAGTAATTTATGGCCATAACAGTTTTAAATTAAACCAAAACCCAACGACTCCCTTCTTAACACACAAATCAGAGCTTTTATTTGAGACACCAATCGTTTAACTTAATCTATACACAAATCATGAACAACCATATTAGCTCTACAAAGGATATATCTTACACACCAGAAAAAAACATCACAATGAGCATTTGAGCTTCAAAAGTAATATAAGAAACAAGGGAGACTTGACAGAAATCAGAAGTTTACAAGCCTTTCCATAACTGATTTGTAAAGAATAATTAACTGCAACAAAAGAAGGCTATACCTTTTACCATCAGGATTGAAAGCTAGAGCATTTATAGGTCCAAAGTGCCCTTTCACGCCTCCAATTTCTTCTAGAAGAAGCTACAAACGCAAAATCAAAGCACATAAAAAACAGAAAACTGCAGCACCACAGTTCAAAATAAGTAACCATCAATGGAAGTGAAAGTAATATTTATAGTAGGACTATTAATAAGTTCAGCTCCAATGAAACTAATTTAACCTTGTCATAGAATTTGGCTTCAAACTTCCCAGCACGATGATCAGTTGTCGTGACAGCTGAAGCATCCTGACCACCTCCAAGCACCACCTGGAAAGTACAACAATGTTAAAGTGGACTTAATCATCAGTTGATAAAATTCTTTACACAGAAAAAAAGTACACCAAAACTTCAGTAATGAGGCAGGTTAAAATTCCCAACATAATGAAAATGCTCTGAATTGCCATTATTAAAAAATCTGTTTCCCTTAAGCTCCATTGGTGTAAAAACTTCGTTTTCTATTTCTTTATTTTATGTACCATTTATCTTATAGTACTTTCAATTTTGGCGATAAGAAGCAACATGCAAACTCATGGAAAGAACAAATATAAAACAGAGTCAATCAATCATACTGAAGCATGATGCAAGCATACAAGCACACCCACAGTGACTGAACTGGCCACACTAAATGGGCAGCAATGTAAGTAAAACAGTAAAATGCATACAAAAGAAATCCAAGCTGTATGCAATTTTAAAGCATTGCTGTGAGAAACTCGTAAAGATGAAGATTGCATTGCAAAAATACAAGCAGACCCAGAGTGAGTGGATTGGCCTCTCCAAATCAGCGGCAATTGATGTAAAATATACTTAGCATTACATGTTATAAACTACATTTAAGCACTCAGTAGAATAAAATCTCCATGTACTGAAGCTGACTTCCATTTGCCAAAAAAGATTAAAGTACCACTTACATTTATTTAATTGGAGGTATAGCAAACTTAACTAGAACTAATGTCACTTGGGGAATGGCAGTGTTTTGGTGGTCCTTTAAGTCATTTCAATTGAAAAAACAAAAGATGTTTTGAAGATCATAGAGGGGAAGATCCTCCTCTGATATGGGACAAAATTAAATTTTGGGCCTCCTTATGGGCTACTGTTTCTTCAGAATTTTGAGATATTCCTTTTGTCTTAATTCATTTTAGTTAAAAATCCGCATTCTCCTAAACCGACAGATTTCTTTCCATTGGGGTTAATTATTAAAGGGCCGCTTTTGTAATTAGTTCTACAGCCTCTAGTTAGACCATTTTGCACCTAGAGTCTTTGGTAGCCTACAGGTTTTCTCTTTCATCCTTTTCTGGACAGCCCTTCATATATAACTTTTTAGACTCTTTTGTTAATAATACAAGTTTTTCCTATCAAAAGAAGAAAAGGATGAGCACAGTGACTCAAGAAATTGCACCATATTCTTTTGTTCTTGAAAAGAAATTGCAACATAACTAGCAAAGCTAATACTATAGACTGATAGCATGAGTTCAGCTATTAGCATTCCATCAATACATACATGATCAAGAAGTGGAGACATGGCAACAGCATTGACTGGGCGCTCTGTCACATAGGCCTTGATAAGAGTCAATGTTCTCGAATCCCAAAGCTAAAAACAAAAACAAAAAATCTCATGTCAAATGAAGCAACAGGTTAGCTGAGAGTAACAGAAGAAATAATCTTAAAAAAAGAACATAAAAATAAAAAGAATTCCTTAACATTGCAAGTATTCACACCAAAGACTACCTTAGCAGATTTATCAAGGGAACCAGTGAGAAAGTGTGATCCATCTGCAGCTTTAGCAAGAGATGTTATTGTCTTCTTATGACCAGATTCCTTGTCTGACTCTTTAAGAAGTTTTCCTGTCTGCAAGTTTGAAAGAGAAAGTACAGCTAAAACTTACGCCTCAACTCAATCGATCAACAAAATTCAAGAATGAAGCACAAAACTATGAGAAACAGTTGCAATGACAACTTATGAACTAAAGTAAATGTCTTTCAACAAGAACCTGAAGTTAAGACACATTTTGCAAAGCTCGGTTTCAGTCAGGTTACAAATGCAACACTTTTGACCAAGAATTAGTCAATGCAATTCTGTATATAATACAGCTAGTACCTCAGAATCCCAAATACGAATTATAGCATCTTCTCCACAGCTTATGATAGTCTTGTTAAGTGGTCCCCAAACAGCTCTATTGATTCTCCCTTGAGGGCCTTTTAAAATAAGCACAGATTCCCCAGTCTCTGTAAATCAACAACATAGGCAGAATTAACTTTACACAACGCTCAATTGTAAAATTAAAGCATCCTTCTAATAAAAAGCCCAGATGCATATCTCATGACCCTAATAAGGTTCATATCACGACACCAGAACATTGACAGATCAAACACTTACAATATAATAATAACCAAACAGACACTATAACCCAAAGTAGACGCTATACCATAGTTAAGTAATATACGATAATAAGCAGATAAGCTTAAACTTTCAAAAAAAATACTTATTATGCTACTAGAACAAATAAAACATTAATCAATAATAAAAAGCCAGGTTTAGCATCCCGCCCTGGCATGTTCATAACAATCCCGGTTCCTAAATCACTATTACATACACACTACATAGTAAAGCATTTTTTTTCTGATTACTATTATCACCCTAGATTATATATAATCGAACATATAAAAGGATGCTGAGAATATAATTCAACAAACAATCCCTTAACATAAAAATTGAACAGAAAACAAAGCTAAACATTAAACATACGTTCAGAGGGGTCTCTAGAAATGCGTTTGACATGAATAGCGGAGGTCAATTCCATGAAAGGATCAGTGGTGATGACAGCAAGCTTATCACCAACAGCGAAGTCCACCGACCTCGCCGGAGAATCGAAATTGAAAGTGAATAACTGAGCCCCTGTTTGCACATTCCACAGCTTCGCCGTCTGGTCCGCACTCCCAGTAATAAGCCGCATCGAATCTCCTGCAGTTCAACATTAATTCAACCAAAAAAAACACCACAAACTCAAGTTAGAAGAACTTAGAGAGAGGAACTTGCTTGTGATATCGCAGCACCAAACGGCACCATTGTGGCCACGGTAGGTGCCGAGACGCTCGCCGTTGTCGGCGAACCAGACGGTGGGATTGTGATCCTTGGCGCAAGAGAAGAGAAGATCACCGTCTTTGTTGTATTTAAGATAAGTTAAAGGCCTTTCATGGCCTTTCATCAATATCGGCCTCATGCTTGTTTCTTCTTCTTTTTCTTTGCTTCGGCTTTGATTTTGATTTTAGATATCGATTTCTCTCACTCAACAATAAGCCGAAGAGGAGGAGAAGAAGACAGCAACAGCAAGATTAGGGTTTTTAATGGAGGAAAGGTATGTAATGTAAGAAGTTCAGTAATCGTCCAATCTGGGCCTAAGGGAGCCCACCTATTTTGGGCTTTCTACGCCAATTTTTAATAAAATTTAAGAAAAGGATTTTCGGCACTATATGATATAATTGATCAGTATTTTCCGTTATTAGGTGCACCCTATTTATATTTTAACATCTCTTTTAAAACCCAATTTAATACTAAAATTATTTTTTTGGACTTAAATAAGTTTTTTCTTTACCCGTGTTTCTTGATTTTTTGAGATTTGGATTATCTTCTATTTTATTTTGTCTAATAATTGAAATGTGGCAATCATAATATAAGATGGTAAATATCTATATATTTAAATTTATTTTTCTTTTTAATTCTCCTTTTGTCTTCATAATTAATAAATAGATTTTCTATACTCCTTCCATCAACCAGCAATTGTTAAGCACAAAGTTTTGTATTCCTAAAATAACTCCACGGTAAGTGATAATCTAATCAGTTTTGACCTTTTTTTATATAAAAGAAAAAAATAAATAAATACAATTGAGATATGAAAAGTGATTATTTCTTTAATGCAATATAAAAGGATAAAGTATGAGTTTTAAATGTTAAAAAAAAGACTAAATAATAAGAAAATATAAAATAAAGTAGGAGTTTACCTAGAATTTATGATGTCCTCAATAATAATTTTATTTAAGGTTAAACTTGTCAAGAAAAATATATTAAAAAGTAGAGCCTATTGAAAAAAGGTGGGGGCTAAAAATCACTACTCTAAAATTTATATATAAAATTAGGGAAGTGACTTTTAACCTCATATAATTGATCAATATTACTGATACGTCTCTATTATATTTAAAATAAATTTCTTTAAATCTTGTTTAATACCCAAAATAACTCTTTAAACTTAATTAGGTATTTGTTTATCCCATTTCCCCCCAATTTTGAACTTAATTAGGTTTGTTTTTTTCCACCCTTTTCCCCCAATTTTTAAACCTAATTTGTTTTTTTTTTCCCCAATTTCAAACTTAATTAAGTTTTTTGTTACAGCCCTTTTTCCAATTTTAAATTTGAAACTTATTTTTTTTCTATACTTCTTTTCTTTAGTTAAGATTTATCTCATTGTGTAATACATTCAGAGTTTTAGTAATATATTTTCATCAAATAAACAAATAATTAAAATAAAAACAAAAGATTCCAATGAGTATGAGAATTCAGAGTTATGGTTTATAAAAGAATTAAAGGTTAAAAACTAAAATAAAAAATGTAAAATATAATAGGGATACACTTGGAATTTATAATGTTATTTCTCATAAATTTTCATTATGTCAAAACAAAAAAGAAAAACAAGTGGGGGATACAGATACTGATCAATTAGATGCACTTCCCACATAATTAATGAGTATTGTTATTCAAGCTCCACCAAAACGTTTTTTAAGCTCCATCATCAATTTTTTTAATTTAAAAACATACTATATATGCAAATTACCAGAAGAACTGTTTCTATCAAACCTTCGACCAGTTTTTTTTTTTTTTTTTTTTTTTTAAATCTTGTGATTCTAAGGTCAGAATCTATTTATTTAATTTAATTATATTTTTTCCTTTTCCGGTTTATTTACTAATTCAATTCTATGGACTTTCTAGAATTTTGAACTTTTAAGAGACAGCTTCAAAACCCTTTTACCTTTGTTTTTGGCTAGAAGTAAACAACTAGAACTTGTTTTTCTCATTTCATTAAATTATTAATAATTTTAGGATAAATTATTTGATTTAGCACAACATTCAATTCTTACCTTGAAGAAGTCCATAGTGTTTACTTTATTGTTTCTTAATCATGACTAATTAAAAGAGAAGTTAAAAGGATTTAGAAAAGAAGAGAAGTTAAAGAAGGATTAGAAAAAGGATAAACTTGGAATAAATTAATATATTTTTTTTTTTCAAATTGATTTTACGGCTTACAAAGAGTTTAGATGGGGATTAAATAATATCACTTTAATTAATTAATTTATGAGTGATGCTATTTAATCGCTATTTTTAATCTTATTGAATCTCATTTCTAAACCTACTATGTTAAATTTTCAAGTTTATTTAAACATCTTAAAAAATCCAATGATTTTCAAGATGAAACTTGTAGTGCCAAAATTTCCAAAGGGCTAAAATGTAATTTAACTACTTGCACCCCAAGCAAGCAAACTAGGTGGAAGGCCCCCGCCTTGCACAAGTTAGTTGTTTGCTTGTATTTAAATTATGGCTGTTTGTATATAATATATTGTTGTTTATGCAAGTGGCTTTGATACCATTTTTATTTGAAGAATTGAATATTTGAATTGATTGATATCTAATACAGAGTTACAAGCGTTATGTAGATAGAAAATGATCCATTGAATCTCCTACTTATATTAGTTATAGATTACACAATATATTAATATAATTAGAAGATTGCACAATATAAAGAATATTCTAAGACTAATAAAAATAATAAATTAGAAAATATTTGTGATAGTATTTAATTTAATGTTGAAATAATAATTAAAGCAAAAAATAATATAGCAATTGAGAATAGCTATTTGATATAAACATTACATCTGTAAAATATATATATTTAAATAATTACACAGAATTAAATGTATACCGATTTAATCCAATAATAATATTAAATATTGTGATTAATACTGTTTGGACCCATGTCAGTGTGCCGAACCACCAAGGCAACTGGTTTTGTGCAAAAACCGGGTTTCTTTTTTCGTTTATTAGAATGGAATCCGATAAGGAATAAATAAGATAAGGGGAATTGTCCGCATAACCACTGTTATTTCTAGACCTGGCAAACGGATGGGTTGGGTGGGTATAGTCCGGATAGCAACGGGTTGCGGGTGAAACAGGTGAAAAATCTCACGTGTTGACATTTTCATGATCTGTATCCATCCGTGCGGTTACGGGTCACCCGTGAAAATAAAGGGTAGAAACAAAGACATATCTCTGTGCCTTAAGAGTCGCTCAAACAAAGAAGAAATCTCAGGAGTTTCAGCTTCAGAGGCCATGGCAGCAAGCGAAAGATCAGAGAAATGAAGAAAGCGTGGAGACAAAACTGAATAAGTGAATAATGGAATTGTGGGGAGAGAATTGGAAAGGAGATATAAGGTAGCCCACAGGAAGAGATGAAGGTTGTGGAAAGATCTGGAATACCGAATAATAGAAGATTCACTGTTGATGATTATCTCATTAAAAAATTGCTGTCTTTTTCAGTTGAGAGAAGATATTATTGGGGCAGTATTGGACACCTGTAACGTATGAGTATAAGCAATTAAGCATAAGTGCATAACCACTGTTCTTTCCTCTTTTTTATTTTATTCATTTATTTTCTTCACAGAGATAAGCCTTCATCTCCACCGTCCAATCATGCCCAGCCGTCGTTTCAGATTCGTGCTCCTCTCGCTCCATCGCAGCCGCCGCCTTCACCTGCCGTGAAGCCCCCGAAAAATGTGTTAAAAGATGCCAGAAGGTCACGGATGTCAAAATTTAACTGGGCTTTTTAGCTAAGTTCCTGTGTTGTAGTTGTTTTTTTATCATCAATATCAAAATGAGAAGATCTCCCTTTGCTTTCATTATTTTTATCTTTTTAATATTTTCAGTTGTTGATATCTACTTTGGTAATTACTTAACGAAATGAAGAACACCATGAACAAATTCAACAATGGGTTGGTTTGAGAACTGAGAAGAAATGGAGGCGTGAAATCCAACAATTGTTGATATATATATATTTTTTTTAAATTTCAAATTTGCAGGTCCACGGGTACCCGTGGGTAGTACCCGGTCTATCCGCAAAAGTCACCAGCGGATCGGGTACGGGTTAGATTCTCACGGGTCAAAATATGTGTTATCCATACCCCGCTCGTTGGATACGAATACCCGTTAACCCGCGGATATACCCGTCGATTTGCCAGGTCTAGTTATTTCATCTACAACTCTTGCCAGTGAAGGAATAAGTACTGCTTTGGCTTGACAGCTTTCCTGAGTTTCCTTTTGGTTTGAAGGGAGCACTCTTAACTTAGGGTTGCAAGGTAAATGGATCTCTTTTGTTTGGCTTTTCCTAAACAATTTTCGTTGATTGTTTGTAAAATTTATTCTTAAGCTGTGGTTAATGATATTGTATAGTTTTGTTTGATCGGCATTGCGTTTGGAGAGTAGAGATTAAGTATGTGATTAAGGTTTCATAGTTTTGGAAAATTCATTGTAGTATTTGAAAATTTGATATTCAGTAGCAGATAAAAGTAATGTTTTTCTATGCACGGAAGTCATAGCACTAAAATTCTTAAAGCCATAAATGGTTTTTGTAGTTGATAGTTATGGAGAACGCTTGAATGTGAAAGCCCATGCACCGCACTGGTATATTTATTACAAGTAATGTTACAGTCACCGAAAGTAGTGCACCGAATTCATGTACCGAATAACATGGCATAATCTTGACCGTCGATTAATATTAATTTATAATTAATCGACGTTCAGGATTGCGTCACGTCATTCGGTGCATGAATTCAGTGCCCTACTTTCTATGACTGTATTATTTTCCATTTATTACTTGTCTTTCAAGTATTCAAGTTTACCAATAATATCGGAAGATTTACTTTACATTTTGAATTGCATAGAAAATACTATTTATCTCATAGGGGTCTAGTGAAACTAATGGAAAAATGCCAATGGTTGCTATTGTATTTGTCAAAGCAAAATTGAGTGTGTTATACAAAATTAATTAGTCAATTGAATATTTGGCAATCAGTAAATCATTAATTTGAAATATAATTTTGAAATATTTGATTTATTAGATTTTGAAGTGAATTGTATTTCATTTATATTTATATATTGTATCCCAGTGTATAATATTTCCATTTTCTTTGTTGCATGTTCCAAGACATTGGTTTGAAAATACAATTTATTGTTATATTGCTAATAACTTTGAATATTCAATATATTGTTATGCTAAAGAAACTCCATTTTATAATAATTTTTATAA